CCCGATGTGGACAAAAGTTGTCTTCCAGAGGATTGGGAATCAGGCGACGACCCAGTGGTCCAGGATCTGAAAGAGCCCCCCCCTAAGAAGGCACGAGGTCGCGGGCGCGGTCGTGGAAGGGCGGCGAGAGCCAAGGCAAAATCTCATGCCGCTGCCAGCGCAGCACAGAACTCAAGCGACAGCAGCACCAGCAACAGCAGCAGCGACAACTCGTCAGCGTCTGGAGATTCTGGAGAGGGATCTGACAGCTCTTCCAGCGATTGAGGCTGGCCAGCTTGCATGTATTATATGCTGCACGGCGCCGCCATGTTGGCGTCGCGGCCAGCAGCCTTTGTTGCGGCAGCACGACACGTCTCACTCACGCATACAAGATCTCGTAGCCTCGTTGCAAAAAGCCTCAGTGGGCCCCTAAGTTTAGCAAAGGCACAGCACGTTCACACCTACATTGCCAGAAGAGTACAACACTATGCATGTTATAAACCACCCTCGCCCCAACGAAGGTTGCAACATGATATCACTATGACCATATCAGAAACGCAACGGAAAGCACACGACACCTACTAGTGGTGCGAATGGGGTAGCTTACAAGCGGGCACACTCACACATGCATGCAATACTGCCTGTAAAGAGCACATCTACCATGCGCACACGCACGTTCACGCTGTATGACGCACGCGAGATTTGTTTCGCACTACAACCACACGAGACAAGTAGGTCTGGCCCCCAAGCAATGCCAACCACTGCCAACAGCTACAACACACATCGAAACAGCTGGAAAAAAAAACATGCCAACCTATGAATCACATGAAACATCTTGAACATCAGAGAAACACATCCAACACCATGAAAATATTGAAAAACACAGAAAAACACAAAAACATATATATAAATGAAAAACTGCAAAATCATGAAAAAACACTGAAAACCATGAAAAAACATGAAACACATTGAAAAACAACAAAAACAACATATGTACATCAATTCACGTAATCCTCAATTCTGGTCGATAATCTACCAAAAACACTACCGAGGACTACCGAGGAAGCTTCCGAGGACTACCGAGGACTTCCGAGGACTTCCGAGGAGGCCCCTCCAGCCACATTTTGTTTTTTGATTTTTTGGGTGTATATAGAAATTGGTTGTCACTTGTTGATTTTTCAATGTTTTTCAGGTTCTTCATTGTTTTTATTGCATTTTCAGGTTTTTTTGAGCTTTTGCTGTTTTTTCGTATTTGTCAATTGGTTTGCTGGTTTTTCAGCATTTTTTTATGTTTTTGTTGGCGTTCAATGTTTTTCATTGTGTGTTGCGTTTTTTTCTAAGCTATTCGTTTGTCGTAGCTGAAAACCAATGCAACTCAAATAACATTGCCAACAACAAACATGTCCAATAGCTTTGGGTACGTGTGGGCTGCCTTGTATTGCATTGTGTTTGAATGTGCAAAAAAGTCTGCTACTGCTGTGTGTCCTAGTTGGGCCTGCCACAATGGCCATTACTCTGACCAAACTTCTCTCATCTACATCTGGCCCCTGTACAAGCATTCGCCACTATTCACACGCTTGCCTCTTTGGGGCCATGAAGGTAGTTCCCTTCTGTTTCGGACACACGCTGCCGCGGCACGCACTTGGCGTGTCAGGTTGACACGTTTGGTGTCGACTGTGGGGCCACGAGACACGTGCGGACGTTGGTCGATTAAGGCCCCGTGAGGCGCGGAGGAGGTCCCTTGAAGGTCCAGCGGGGCACCCAAGTTGTTTAGGTGGGCAATCGCTCAGGACGATCTACTCAAGTCTGGGAGTCTGGGGGGGGGCTCATAGGGGGCTCGTGGGAACCCAGCTAAATCGCCACATAAGGGCAATTATGATGAAGCTCACGATGGTGGTGGTGTTGATAATGACATGATGGTGCCACAGCCATTTGGCTCACCACGTGTTGCAGATCTGACGGCCCAATTGCCGACGATTGCACCCATGTCGTCCTCGAATGTCCAGGACACATTTCCTGTAACGGGCCAGATGGACATACAGTTGCGTGTGGAGACGCCCGAAGGCACCAGGAAACTCTCTGGCCGCCTCGGCCTCGAGGGGATGCTAACAATGTCCTTGCCTCTTGGTGATGGTGATCCTGTGGGTGATAATCCTAGTGTCAAGAATATCACGATATCTGTGTCGGCTGTTACTGCTGCTTCCGTTCCCAATGATGCGCATGGCATCGAAACTGACAAGACTGATGATGGCAATGGCATCGGCAGTCGACCGCCTGAGCTTGGCGATAGTTGCGACCCTGATGTTCCCAAGCCTTTTCCTGGCGGCGTTTTTGCTGGTGCTCCTGCGTGCGTGACCGAAGGATCTTCTGGCCAAGTGTCTTGCGAGCCCAGTCGCCCCAGTGCTGATGCAGCGACTGGCGCTGGCTCTGTAGACGTTCACATCGCAGATCTATCCGAATGCTTTGATTCCGCTAGGGCAGTGGAGGAGAGTATGTATGGCGGGCAGCTTTTGCCGAACCTCGCTTCATTCATCGACAGTCCCAATAGCCCGGCCCCCACTGTGCCTGCGAGCCCGAAGCGTGCCCGGCTGGACGCCGGCGCGCCTCTTGGGCTGTCTGAGACGCCTCCAGGGCCGTCGGCTCCAATCATTTCGGTGGAAGACAGCCCTGATTTCACGCCTGCGCCCGTGCGCAACGTTCGCAAGTGGAAGCTGAGGCAGAGAGATGACGACGAGCTCCCTTCTCAAAGCTTCGCGCCTTGCCCTTTCAGTGGGCAGGAGCTCGCGCCTGCATCCCAGTTGATTCGTCAGTTCGCGGAGGCCGAGGTGCGATCGACCGACCGGCGCTAGCCAAGGAGCCAAGGGAGGAGGGAGGATAAGAGGAGATAGCGGGGATGTATTATGATGATGACGGTGTTGATGATGCTGGTGGTGATCACAAGCAGGATGATGAATATAAGGAGGAACCTAATCTCATACGCTCTGCCATCTGCTGTCCCGTTTCAATTGTTTGCGCGTCAGTTCTCAGCTCAATGGGGGCTGTGCTGTTGGACTGGATGCATTGTTTTTGGCGACTGTAGCAACAGTCATGTATGGTACATCTTCGCATCCACATCCATTCCTACTCCTCTTCTCCCTAATCATAGGGCCCGTACGGGCCCCTACGCACTAACTCGTTGACGCTTCCCACGCCGTCTTTAACACATTAAGTTCAATCAATGGTGTCGGCGCTCATGCGCCGCTGGCCCCCCTTGGGCTTGGATCCTTCACGTGCATACTTATGTTTGTCGCAGGATTAGGATGCTTGGAACCAGTCAGATTTGAAATGTGATGGTGTTGCTCGGATTGTATGCTTGCGTATGCTGAACAATGCTCAACGCGTCGTGCCCCACCAACCCATCTAGAATCGATGCCTGGGAACCTGGGGACAACTAATGAGAGATGGGGGGGAGTAGTCTAACAGAAAACTGGGTCTCAACAACACATCGGGAGGCGAGGGGGCGCTTGCCAATTCCAACACAAAGTTTTGAATAGCGACGAGTGAGCCTGCGACTGCCCCCCCAAAAGGAGCCTTTCAGGGCCTCGAGAGACTGCGCCCTCACAAAAAGGTAAATCAATTACCAAACTCTCATGCAACTCTTCGCATAGGCTCCAAACGGTCCAAACGACAGTCCTGGGAGTTGGGGGTCCAAGAGCCCAACAGTAGGATCAGCGGGCCTCTGAGGGTTCAGTCTTGCTCAGTGGACGTCCATGCCACCACCCATAACTTCTGTCGAACGCCGCTCAACAAGACGTGGTCGTATGCACAACATACGGCTGATAAGGCGAGAGTGCCATTCTTTAGCAATGCGTTCGAGGAAGTCTCAGGAGAGAGCGAGACTCGTTTAGCAACTTGTGCGGAACCATAGAACATAGGCTGCTCTCGTTGGTGTTGGCTCAAACATTCAGGCTTCTCGTCCAAGGGACATCCACCCAGTCGGCCCAGTCGCGGACTCCTCGCTCGAGACACGACATGGACGGACTCGAGGACCTCGGGATGGACGCCATGTCGCTCGACGGCTCCTCCAAGCCAGGGGGATCGGCGGATGACGCTGGCAGCGTGGCGGGGACGTCCTCTAAGAGGACGAAGGCCTGGCATGCAATCCTGCCCACTCTGAAACGACAATGTGCGCATCGACGCAACATTGATCAATGAAGGAATTTCTGCACGCATGGTGGGCAGAAATTCCCTCGCAGACATTTTGGTTTCTTCCAAGTCGGGTCGATTGATCCTGAGATTTGCAAAGCGGCCCCTGGACCGAACTGACCATTGCCAAATCCGTCTTGGCCTCAAATCTTGCCTGCCGAAATCTTTGGAGGGGGAGCTTCGGTTTCCGAGGAAGGTACCTGGCCTGATAGAGAAACGCCCCCCCACCTCCATCCTCCTCCTGCCACCTCTTCATTGTTTGTTCCCTACCTAGGCTCTGCCTAACTCTCTTAGCTGAAAGGGGCCGGGCAGTGTAACACGCCCTGGGCGGTTCCCCCAGTCCCCTGGGAGCGGTTCCCCCAGTCTCCTGGGAGCTTTAGCTTTAGCTTTAGCTTTAGCTTTAGCTTTAGCTTAGCTTTAGCTTAGCTGTAGCTTAGCTTTAGCTTAGCGTTTCGCTTAGCTTTTCGCTTAGCGTTTAGCTTAGCTTTAGCTTAGTTGCACTTTAACTTTAGCTTAGCTCTAGCTTAGCTTTAGCTTAGTTGTAGCTTAGCTTTAGCTTAGCTTTAGCTTAGCTTTAGCTTAGCTTTAGCTTAGCTTTAGCTTAGCTGTAGCTTAGCTTTAGCTTAGCTCTTGCTCAGCTTTAGCTTAGCTTTAGCTTAGCTTTAGCTTGGCTTTAGCTTAGCTTTAGCTTAGCTGTGGCTTAGCTTTAGCTTAGCTTTAGCTTAGCTTTAGCTTAGCGTTACTGTTACTACTAATGCTGCTTTCCTAGGGGTTCCAACTCCTAGGTAGGGTCGCACTGGGATAATTTTTCTCTGAGAGGCCAGCACTGGCTCCAGCTGCAACGCGTGCAGTTCGCCCGACTGCGCGCCGGGCAAGAAGCAGTGCAGGATCCATACTAAGACCGTGGGCGCCATGATGAGCGGATTGAAGGATGACAAGTCGGAGACAGGCATCAAGGCGCTCAAAGAGTTCAAGAATCTCCCAGCGAATGCCCCAGATACCCCACCCAGTCCTTGGAGCGAGTCGGTGCTCAGTTTTGAATCAACGCATCCTTCGAAGGGCCAGGGCAAGCCGAGAGGCCATTCCTCCGCCGACGTGCAGCGCATCCTCGACAAGCACGTGGCGAAGACGTCCATGGCCAAGGGCTCAAGGCTCGTGATGATGCATAAGGCGCAGTGGATCAAGCTCCGTGTCAAGAAGCAGTGCTACCCCATGGAGGAGGCGGAGATGACTTGGAAATCGGTCGAGGGCAAGTGCCCTGAGTCGGCTAGAGACAAGATGGGCCCCATAGATTCACCTCTACGTCTACCGATGCCATCAGAGGACTACATTGATGCTGCGGCGATCATCGAACAAGTGAAGGAGTTGGAGTTGGCCTCGAAGTCCAAGAAGATCGGCGCAGAGACTGACATCGCAGCTGCACAGGCCGGCGTCATCAAGAACCACGTCGGCTTTGGCAATGACATGTTCGATTCTGTTGGAGGGCAGGCCATCCTCGCCTCAGCGGGGTCAGGCCTGCTCGGAGTTGGGGCCTCAGGGCAGACCGCGTTCCACTAGGCCAGCGGGACAGGCGCAGCTTCCAGCGCTTTCGCTTCCGTCATTGAGAACAAGAAGATGCAGCATCAGGAATCCGACAGAACCCCGCCGTCGGCTCAGAAGATATTCGACAAGGACATACAGCAGGTTAAGATGCATGACAGGGTGGCCAGTCAAATCAGCAGCATTCAAGGCAAGCTGGAAAAACTTGAGGAAGCGAAGGCCAAAGCGATTGCCATGACCAAAACCGAAGGCGGAGAGGATCGCAGCAGGCCAGGCCATCATTTCGTGCCAGGGCTGGATCGCAACCTGCAGCTGCTGAGCGACCGTTTCTCGCTGATGCCGCTCACGCAGATCAAGTTCCCAGAGGATCCTGCGCCGTCGAGCTCGATCGCTCTGTCGAACGGCATCGAGGAGTCGGAGGAGCTCAAGCTCGCGTCGAAGATTGCCGGCACCATTAGTGAGACCAAGGCCGACCAGGAGAAAAAGCCCGTGGAGCCCGAGAAAGTTGAGGAGGCAAAGCAGACCCTGAATCGCTCTATTGCGAACCACATCGGCAACAGCTTCGAAGGTAGCTTGAAGGGTTCGATGCTCCATGAGATCATGAAGGCGCGCGGCTTCGACAGCGAGACCGCGAGTTTGAACCATGATCTGCTCTTCCAAGACCTCTTGTTCCACAAGCACTACTTGGTCGCCGTGGCCAACCTTGAGGCGTTCTTGACCCAGCGGAACGCAGAGGGCAAGGCCTTGCCCGTCGTGCCCGAGGATCTCGATGCTGCGAGGCCGCTCATCTGGTTCCAGGCTGGCCAACGCCGCATCCATCGCATCGAGGACGAGAACGCCATGAAGGTTCGAGGGGGACCCTGCCATGCCGCATTGATCTGAGTCAGGATGGCCCCTGAGAGGGCCAGGAAAGCGAGGGGGATGGGGGAGTTGTGGAGTATGTTATCTGGGGCATTTGTTCTGGTAGAGGTCCGGGGGCGGTCAGGGATGAAATGGAAACGGCGGCATGGCTCGGCCTCTTCGCACTGTGTGGCGACTCGCCGTCAAGGCTTGGATGAACGAATGCGACAAGAAGGTTGACCTCTTCACTAAATGCATCAAGTTTCTGCAGGCTGCAGCGGATGCTGTTTCGAAACACATCACCACGCACGACAAGAAGGTCCAGCACTCGTCGCAGCAGGCGGCGAAAAAGGAGGAGAATGAACGAGCCAGGAAAAGGAAGATTGCGGAGGCTGAGCAGAATGCGAGGAGGGCAAAAGGAGATGCTGGGACCGCGTTCCTGATCCAGGCCAGTCATGATGCGATTAAACCTGTGAAGACTTTCGACACCGCGGAGAAGCTGGCCGAGGCCAAGGACGCGGGGACCTTGGGAACAAGCGAGCCCTACATCGTGAAGAGCATGCCCGCAGTGGCTGCTCTCGTGGACGAGCGGAGCGTGAAGGCAAGCTTAGGCGTGTTTCGCATCCAATTCCCATCAAGCGGCCAAGCTGTAAAAGACGGGCGCGGCTACACGCCGTTCCACAATGAGCGGAGGGGCCGCCTCCGGGAGCTGATGCTCTCTGCGGGCCCGGCCTGCGTCGTGGACGTGAAGAAGGACGGCGTCGACAACTTGGTGAAGACGACGTGCTTTCAAGCCGCCTTCTACGGCAAGAACCCAGGGTGTGTGGGCATGGGGCAGTCGCGCCAAGGGCTGGCGGTCATGATGTATCAGGTGGCGGGGACCCTGGAGTTCACCTTGATAGACTTCAGCAGCTTAGGCGACTATGCCCAGAAGGCCGACATGATCAAGCAGACGGACAAGGACTTTCACGAGCATCAGCTGGATGTACTTCATTCTATTCAATCTCAAGAACAATTGGACTTGCTTGCGCAGTCTGAGGCGAGGGTCTACCGTGGGACGCTGGCACCCAATCAGATGTTGTTCATCCCTCTGGGCAGCTTCTTCGTCGAACGGACGGTCGGTACTAGCGGCGTCTACGGCTACTTGGTGCCATTCGTGGAGAACTCGGCTGCGTCCTACACAGCGTTCGAAGAGATGTTCCGCCAGATCGAAACGTGCCAGCCGAACAGCGCCACCACGAGGTTCTTTCGGAGCGCATTGGCAGCCGCCACTCCCGAGCCCGCCAAGCAGGCTGATAGCAGCAAGTGAGCATCCCGCTTGATCACGCTGTTTTTGTTTGCCCGGCATCAGAGACTCTGCGATGAACTCAGGCTCCTATTTGTTTCATTCGCATGCGCCGTCAGTCAATTTCAATAGGATGGCGTCGCGGGATGAGGTCAGTGCTCGATGTTGCGAGCCACTGCCTCTGCCATTCACATGTTTTTTACTGCTGGGATGTGTGAGCGCTCCACCAACCCACCAGATGGGCACGGGGAGCAACGCCTCGCTCTCGCGCGAGGGACCGGGGAGCCCAAGCAGCCTTCAGCATGTGCAGTGCTAGTGGCAACGACGACGGCGATGGAGATCTCATGGGGCCCAAAACGACATGATGTCCAAAAACAAGCCCGAACCAAATCGCACTCATAAAACTCAAAAGGGTCTAGTGGGTCGTCTTGGGAATACAGATTAGGGGTAAACGCCGGATGCCAAACAAACATCACAATAAACAGCTTCGCAAGCACGAAACAACACAAACAAAGCAGCATCACAAACAAAAAACAAACATCACAAGCACGAACACGTAGCACACTTCACATCGAATGAGAAAACCTGGTCCGACAGATCCGATTGAACACACACTTCGAATGCGCCTGAAGGCACCAGGGACGTGAGCTCAGCATCTACTGGTGCTGAGGAGCGATGGCTGAGTAAGAGTCTGAAGGCTCGGAAGTACAGGCCGAGTGATTATCATGGTCAACATTGCCATAGCCATTTTTCTGGCTCGACGTTCAAGCAAGTGTGTACTTGCAATGCGTTCATTAGTGAGGCGCCCATCTAACGCTCCAGATAGCAAGCGATTCAGAACAGGGTCGATCGATGCTGCCGAGGCCAGCCTGTTCCTGTCCGAGGGCTTCCGCACCACAAAAGACTACGCGGAGTGGCCCATGCAAGCCATCGATGACGTCACCGCAGCAGATGAGTGTGCTGCTGGGAGGTTGACGGAGCTGCTGAACTCTCGTCCGCTGGTCTTGCATAACTACTACTCGGGCAAGGGAACGGATGGTACAGTTGCAAGGCGTCTGAGCAGGGCTCTACAGATGAAGTGCATCACGTCGAGTCCTGACGCTATCACAGCTTACAGTGCGTGCGACTCCGAACCAACGGCGCGCACCGTGCTTAGCAATATGCAAGATGGCCCGGAGAGGATCTTCAAGCACGTGTTTGGCAGCATCCAATCTCGCTTTCGCGATGTCCATGTCGACCATGTGAGGAGGCTGTTGCACTGCGTTGGACATGATGCTCGGTTACAAGCGTTCGAAGAGATGGACCGCTACCTCGAATCGTTCAAGGGAGAGCTCTTGAAGGAGAGTGGCGCCGCCGAGTGCTTCGCATGCGGCAGGGGAGCCTGCCCCATTCGCCATGGCCGCACAGGGAAGCTTGTTCTTGCAGTTGCAGGCCACAGTTGCCAGGATTTCAGCATCAGAGGAGCTCGTGAGGGATCCAGTGGCACGCGCATGGAGGATTTCCTGTGGTTCAAGCATGAGGTAAAAGACCTGGACCCCGACTTCATAATCTTAGAGATCACCGATGGGGCCCCAGAATCGCTCCACACGGATTTGATCAAGTACCTGGAGATGGACGGGATCACAGGCAAGATATGCGCGGAGGAACTGTCGGTGCCAATGCGCCGACCGCGTCGCTACACATTCGGTTGGCGCAAGACCCTCTTCGAGTTCCATGGTTCTTTCAAAGATTACCGAGGCGTGTTCAAAAAAACAAAGAGTTTTGCAACCGACAGCTTTCTTCATGGATGACGATGCCACTCGCCAAGAGTACGTCCGCTCCCCGCTGTCCCGTGGGTGTGTGCATTTCGGCGACAGTCGCGTCAACATCAGCATCAGCGACAACCTTAGCCCATTCATGAGAGAGCGTTTCGATCGCTACATGACTGTGAGGGATGCGTTCTGCGGGCTTGACGGCTGTTTCGTAGCTGACCTCCTTCAGGACGTGAAGTACGCGCCACCGGGGCCAGTAATGCCAACGATCACGACTCACAATGCTTGGATGGTGACGATCACAGAAGATGGTGTTATCATTCCTTTCACTGCGAAGGAGTTGCTCGCAATGATGGGCGACAACTGTTTTAGCCCGCCAAGTGGTTCAGATGCGTTCCCCTGCTACTGGGCAGGTATTGCA